TGTCACTGGCAGGGTGGGCTTTGAGGTTTCAAAAGCCTCTCTTGGTCTACAGATCAGGATGTACCCCTCAGCTACTGTCCCAGCACCCACCTGCATGCCATCCTGCTCCCACCATAATGATAATGGACTATATTACTGAAATGCAAGCAAGACCCCATCTAAATGCTTTCTTTCATAAGAGTTGCCTTGGTCATGATGTCTCTTCACAGCAATAGAACTGTAACTAACATTGCCTTTGTGTGTTTGAGAGACCAGGTGGTACTACATTGCCTAAGGTAGCATGGACTTCCTAGACTATATCTGTCTTCCTCTTGGTTTTTTGAGACAGGGTTTCCCTCTATGGCCCTGGCTAACCTGGAACTCACTCTGTTGACCAGGCTGGTCTACATTCAGAAAGATGCCTGTCTCTGCCTTACAAGTGCTGAGATTAAAGTTATACACCACTGTCTAGCTGTGCCTCAATCTCTTAAGTAACTGGAATATAGGAGTGCTTATTTAAAGGAGCTGCAGAAAAGTCTGCAATTATTTGAAACAGAAGAAAGAGGATATGGGACTCATATAATAGTTATACACCAGCTTCAGAGTCATGGAGATGAATGTCTTCATCCAAAATAGAATAGTGATATTCTGAACTGAACCTGGAGTAACCTCAGTTTTCTCCATAGAACAGGGTACAACAGTGAGCATAAAAGGATGAAATGGTAGGTTGTGAAGGAAGAGAAAGGTTGGGATCAGCACAATGTGACCTTATAGAAAAAGTCAGTAGTGGGGCATGCAACACTAGGAACACTATTAAATTCATTACAAATATGAAAACTATATATGGAATACTTAGTACCTGTTTAGGGCATAATATAGAGTAAATATTTCTCTACTCTCTGAAAATGCATTTACCCTGCTCATTTAAAGTTACAGGTGGTGTCATGACAAAAACAATAAATAGATGTAATAATTGCATTTACTCATGAGGGTATAACCTAATGTAAAACAGCGAATATTGATTTGAATGTTTTCATTCAAAATTCAGATTGTGATTTATTCAAAGAAGATGAAATTAAATCACTAAGGTAGACGTGTTATAAATTCTAATTAACTAATAGCAGATCCAGATTCAATTATGAGATTATTATAATTTAAAATATTTACCTGTGCACCTATATTTCAACATTCTGAAACAGCTGTTAGTTGCTTGAAAACCAACTTCTTTATCTATTATGTCTAAACACAATGTAAATGGATCTGAAAAAATGTAAAACATAAGATGTTTTTGTTTAATGAAAAGGTTCTGAAATGTATAATATTTATTACGTCTAGATTTTCATTCATTTTCTCTCACAACTACATATCTATTCATCTTAGTGAATAAAAAGACTGGTTCTGGACATGAGTAAATGGTAATAAAGGCAAGCATGCCAAAGGCAAAAGTACGGCTTATATAGGGCAGATATACCAACTTACATTTGAGTTTTAACCATACAATACCAATTTTCTTGAAAAATCAAAGAAGAAACAGTTTAAATCATACCTGTTTCTGGTACCTGCTGCTTTCTATTTTTGACAGTGTGAGTCAGATGTTTAACAACATGATCACTAAAAAAAAATGGACACTACATTTTAGAAATAAAGATTCTGTGGTGTGGGGCAAATTTTAAACAGTAGTGTGGTTCTGAATGTCCAGCAAACAGACAAAGCTGGATCCAAAAACTACTGCTATAATCTGAATGTCAAATGCCCACCCACTCCCCAACACAAAGTCCATTATTCAATCCCTGGCCCCAGCTTGGCACTATTGGGAGATTTTTGAGATCTTTAGGAGGCAGAGCCTTGTAAAAGGTCTTAAGGTTCCCAGGTATACACCCTTGAAGGGGACTGTGAGACCTTGTCTTTTTTTTCTGTTTCTTGGCTCATGAGGTGAATGGTTTGCTCCAAAAGATGCTCCTGGCATGCTGTACTGCTCTTGCTAGAGACCACAAAGCAAAAGGTATTTAGCCCACCATTTTGGACTTCCAACTTCCAGAACCATGAATAATCTTTTTCCCTTTAAAAGTTAATTGTCATAATGGCAGAAAGCTGACTACAGCATCAACAAAATTGACCAAAGTGGTGTCTGCAATCAATAGTCATAGCCTTGTTTGTAGAAGTAAACAAAACTCCAGAGAGGGGGAAAAAAAAAAACTCCGAAGAGAAATATTGTAAAAACATTAAAAGAAGCAGGGATTGTTAGGTGGTGGTGCAAACCTGTAATCCCAACACTCAGGGAGGCAAAGGCAAGTGGATCTCTATGATTTTGAGGCTAGAACAGAAAAGGTTACACAGAGAAACCCTGCCTCAAAATACAGTCAATCAAAAACCAAAAGCAAGCAAGCAAACAAAAACCACTAACAGAGAGGGCCAGAGATGTAGCTCCTCCTTTGTAAAAATTTCTTTATTTTTTTTTAACAGAGTCTCCTATATCCTCCTGGCCTTTAAACTCACTCTGTATTAGAGGGTAACTTTGAATTTTTTCTATCCTTCTTCCTCTACCTCCTGAGTGTGCTGGGATTAAGGTATGTGTTACCACACCCTGTTTATGTGGTGCTGAAGCCTTGAGTTTGATTCTGAAGTGGAAATATGGTAAAGTACATTTTATATGTATGAAATTGGAAATGGGAAATACATTTGAAAAATAGAAAACAAAGGGAATTCCTACTCTGTGCTTCTCCCAAAACCATGCTAATCACTCCTGTACCCACAGTGCTTAACAACATGGCACATAATAAGCAAGCACTATAATCATTAAACTATACCTTGGTTGAGAATTAGAAACCTTTTGGTCAAAAGTCTTGTTTTCATTTAAGTTTTGAGTGGAGCTTGAAGTGGCTTTGTGTAAAACATTATTTTGTCCTCTCTCCCTATAAAAAGGATTAACTGGATTCATGATTTTTTTCAGAGTCTTCCTTTCATTTTCATTTGCACAAGCTTTAGACATGATTCCACTGGACTCATAGTTATGAAACTGTCTAGACTGGTTTGTAGTCTTATCTTCTGCTTTGGTACCTCCAATACTATCTGCACGGAGATGTTTCAAATTGGTCTGTATTTTTATTTTCACAGATGAGGTATTATCCTTATATTGTCCACTTTCTTGTTTTTCCTACAATGTAAAAATTAGCAAGTAAATAATTTCAGTACAATAATTTCTTCACAATATGTTTTATATTTTCCTTAAAAATATATTAAAAACTGATAACACTTATAGTAAGTAACACTTATAGTAACACTTAAAAGAAATAATTTACATTAGGAGGAAAAATAATTTATATAATAAATGATATTGGAATACTTAAGAAGCTACCTGGAAAAAAATAATGTAGCTATACAGCAGTTTCACAAAAATAAAGTAAAAGTGAACCAAATATTTAAAAAACGTTAAATTATATAGGCTCAGGGAGATGGCTAGGTGAGTACAGGTGCTTTCTGCCAAGCTTAACAACCTAAGTGTGATCCTCATGGCCCACAAGGTAAAAGATTAGCAGCTTCTATACACACACACACACACACACACACACACACACACAGAGAGAGAGAGAGAGAGAGAGAGGACATAAAAAGTACATCCATTAAAAATGAAACTATTCTCAAGGGGCAGATGACCTTTCCAAATGGCATACAATTATATATCACAAAATAAGAAAAATTAATAGCCTTGATCACATAAAGTATCTTTGAAAGCTCTCCTAGAGTCCAAGGACAACAAAGGAGAATAGACTTGGAGGGGAAAAGGGCAAGAAGCAAAACCAGTGACAACCAAGACCTGGAAAATCATATACAAATAATGTACTAGACCACAGGGTAATTCTTAAATAGTACTAATAAAAAGTCTCTATCTAAGAAAAAGTTCAAAAATTGTATGGGCAGGTAAGCAAAGGAGACAAAAAGTTCACTGGTCAGGGAACACAAGTAGCTTTTAAGCATATGAAGACTCCTCTACTTCATTGTAGTAAGAGACAATACATTGCAGTATCTTTCTACCATGACAGATTCAAAGCACGCCAAGAACAGACATCGTGAACATTACTGGCTACAGAGTATGTATGTGTATACATGACTAAATGACAGCTAACTTTTTTTTTGAGAGGGGGTCTCATCATGTAGCCTTGACTGGTCTAAAACATCAACCAGGCTGGCCTCATACACAGAGACTCTCTGCCTCTGGAGTGAGAGTAAAATCAAGCAGCACCATACACAGCCTTGCATTTTTGATTTTTTACTTCTTTTGACAACTTTTATAATAAAACCTGCATGTGTAAGAAAATCCTATAAATTAATTTACGTGTTCAATGTCAATATTTTTTATTAAAGATTTACTTATTTATTTATATAGTACTCTGCCTGCATGTATCCTACCAGAAGAGGGAACCAGATCTTATTATAGATGGCTATGAACTACCACATGGTTGCTAGGACCTGAACTCAGGACCTTTGGAAGAACAGCCAGTGCTCTTAACCCCTGAGCCATCTCTCTAGCACCAATGTCAACATTTCTAACTATGGTATTGTTATGGCTAATAGTTGCATATAATATTTATCAGTAAATTCATCCAGTGCAAAAAATAGTGTCCAGTATAAATGAATTAAATAGTTATATTTTTACTTTGGTCCTCTACAAATATTACTAAAGATAAACTTTCTTTTTTATTTATTTATTTATTTATTTATTTATTTATTTATTTATTTATTT